CACCTGTAGTTGTGCCTCATTTTGACAACCACCCTTTATTCATGGATGACAACGCTAGATCTCATCGCTCTAGGGCTGTAAAGGCTTATTTAGAGAATGAATCCGTCAACACTCTTCCTTGGCCAGCAAGAAGTCCAGATCTCAACCGCATCTGTGGGACCAATTGGGTAGGCGAATACAGGCTTTGGAGCCTCCTCCACAGACATTGCAACAGTTAGAAGCTCACTTGCACCGAGAATGGCGACAGATAACGCTTCAACAAATCAGACGTCTAACTGGCAGTAGAGCTTTATGTGTTGTGGTAGACAAGTATTATTACAATAATTCTATGCACATTTTTCTGAACAGGCTTTGTAGTCATCCAGGCAAACGGTGGATATACCCGATATTGACTTTTCGATGACTAATTATCAATGTGTGGGTCATGATTGACATTTTGTAATGTGATTTGACAATTCAATAACATTTTTGAGCTTTCACTGACAATACTTATTAAAGATAATTTTAAGCGTGAAAACTGTCCATATTTTGATGTCATGAGATGTAAATTAAAAATTGTTATTTTACGGTGATAATCTTGTTTTCTTATGCCCAATAATGCATAATTTCATTTGATAAACACGTTTAGATTGAATGGTAATTTATAATCAGTCACAAGAACGTCGAATCTGAATCACTTGAAAAAAAACACCGGGGTGCTTAACTTTTTTCCAGGTGTATATATCAGTGCTTATATCCCATTTAGTGAAGATGTGAATAAGAGTGTTTTACACAATCTCATATGTAAAAGATGTTAAATAAATTATCTAAACTTTATTTGTGTTGAGTGGTAAGAATAATATAGAATAGGCATTGGTAAAAGCTGTTGTATTTGTCATGGTAGTAAAAAGTGTATTGGAACAAAATGGTAGGTAAATTATTTGAATAAAATAAACCCTAGTTCTTTTTGACAAGTATCTAATGTGATTTACCAGCTGTTGTAATGATGAATTTATGATAGGTAAAGCCATAAGTGGTTCTTCAGTTGTGTGTTCTTGCTTGTTAAATGAATAAAAAAAAACACACATTTGTGTAGGCAGTATTAGCATTTATTATGAAGTGTATTCAGGTTACTGAGGTGTTCGATGTTGAATTTGATTTTCTTTTATTGGGACATGTTTTTCTGATTGCAAGTTTTTAATATACTTTGCAGGAATCTCAATTTTCTGTCGGATTGCTGCTGTATGGAGAGGAAAAGGAAGGCAGTGTTCCTTCTTTGTTTTCCGAAGAGTCATTCACAAATTTCACAGTGAACATGGTTCGTCGACTTGCGAAAGAGGAAGAACTCAGGGCCCGCCATCAGCTGGCACTTTTACAGCTCCAGGAAAAAGCTTTGGTAGATAAAGCTAGGTCTGAAATGGCATGGCTAGAACTTGCCAAAAGGTACGCCACTTTTTTTTTATCATGGAATGGAAACAATTGTATCTTTCTCACCATCTTAAAAAAGAATGTGAGCAACAGAATGTTAGACACTGAATATTTTAAAAAAAAACCACATCATTAACCTTATGTGTACTAGTCACTTCTTTTAACATGATTACTGTTTGTTCTGTTAATGTTAGCTTTATTCATTGTATGTGTTTTTCCTGTTTCTGTGAACCTACACTTGTTTCCTTATCTTTTATTATGATTACTGTTTGTTCTGTTAATGTTAGCTTTATTCATTGTATGTGTTTTTCCTGTTTCTGTGAACCTACACTTGTTTCCTTATCTTTTATTATGATTGCTGTTTGTTCTGTTAATATATGTATTCAGTGTATGTGTTTTTCCTGTTGGTGTGGATAATCTGTGGACCTACACTTGTATCCCCATGTTTTAGTATGATTACTGTTTGTTTTGTTAATGTCTTTATTCAGCATATGTGTTTTTCCTGTTGGTGTTGACCTACACTTGTTTCATTGTCTTTTATTATGATTACTCTTTATTCTGTTAATGTCTTTATTGAGTGCATGTGTTTCTCCTGTTGGTGTGAACCTACACTTATTTTCTTATCTTTTACTATAATTACTGTTCTGTTAATGTATGTATTCAGTGTATGTGTTTTTCCTGTTTGTGTAGACCTACACTTGTATCCCCATGTTTTAGTATGATTACTGTTTGTTTTGTTAATGTCTTTATTCAGCATATGTGTTTTTCCTGTTGGTGTTGACCTACACTTGTTTCCCCATGTTTTAGTATGATTACTGTTTGTTTTATTAATGTCTTTATTCTGTCCGTGTGTATTTCCTTGCGTTAGAGGTTTGTTACTCAATGCTTGCATGTGTATTTTTTGGCTTTGGAAGATTATTATTGAGTGCATGTGTATTTCTTTGCTTTGGAGGATTGTTATTGAGTGCATGTGTATTTCTTTGCTTTGGAGGATTGTTATTGAGTGCAAGTGTATTTCTTTGCTTTGGAGGATTGTTATTGAATGCATGTGTATTTTGCTTTGGAGAACTGCTATTGAGTGCATGTGTATTTCTTTGCTTTGGAGGATTGCTATTAGGGAGCACAATAGATTTTTATGTATATTAGTTTTAGAAACTAAGAACTTGGAAGCATACTTTTGTGACAGGAAACAGGGTGTCTATACTCAATGTTTAAGGGCAAATAATCTATTTTCTAAATCTGTTGATTGAGAAACAGTTGTTACTAATCAGTTCTAATGTACTAAGATCTATAACATTAGGCTCTGATGACTAAATTGTCATTGATATGAGTAAAGGACCTTGATCTAATTTCACTTGACTTAAGCTGAAGTTTTTCTTTAACCCTCTTTCTTACAGGTAGGTCAAAGTGTGCATGTCATGACCTGTTACAGAGTTACATTCAAAAGTTAATTAAGCAATTTTATTATCATTGTATACAAATAAACTTGGCATCAAAATGTAGCTAATAAAGTTTTAATATTATATAAGTTTTAAGTTCTTAATATTATAAGGAAATATAAAAAAAATCCCCAATCTTCCCAGTTATGAGAATCATGACATTTGTTCTCTAGGTCTTCTCCCTTCTCTAATTTATATACCATCTCTTTAATGTAAAATTACATATTATAATATAGGTATTACCCAGGCAAAGCATAATTTTTATAGCCTTCCATCTTATTTGTTTATACAGAGTCATAAAGTAGAAAATCAGACCCACTTATCACGCACACGTATCACATCCTCTCTTTTACAAATTGCTAATAGTTATCTCTAATGTTTTATACTATATTATTTACAACCAATAGAAAGACAACGTTTTAATCTATCAAATGATGTATTGTGTTGCATTGTGTTTAGTACAGAGTATTGTCTGTTTTATCTTCAGTTTGAAAGTTTCTCCCACAATGTTCAGATTGACAAGCTTAGGGAATTACTTAAAGGCTCTTATGCTATAGCTAGAAAGCCAGTTAAATTATGATAGTTAAAGGACATTGTTTGCTTTGTTCTTGTTATTATTCTGTGTTCTCAGGTGCATTACTTAAGAAAATAAAAATTTAATGTAATAGTACCATTATTGTAAAATATGTAGGCTTAAATTTTCTCAGCAACCAAAAGCAAAAACAAGGGGGTCAGACATAAGTGTCATATGTGTATTCTTTATATAATATTATAAAAGCAATTAAAATGTAAAAATTAGAAACTTATTAGGTTACATAATGAAAAATAATAATAATAAATTCTTCACAAGGTCTTCGTTAGGTCATTCAATACGTTAACATGAGCTATGCATTTGCCAAGTGATTTACAACTTGTCTAGAGGGATTATTCGTTAGACATGGGTCAAAGGACAATAAAATCAAGTATAAAAGGATGTAAGTGGGTATGAGCTTTAACCTATTTATGATAAACAATTGTAGTTCCATGTTAGTATCTGCAATCATTCTAGAAAATTTATTTCGTTTTTTGTGGCTGTTATAAGATCGATTAAATTGACTGAGTCTGTATAGAGTTAGGGTTGAGAAAATAACAGATAAAATTTAAAGTTTTACTAAAAAAGAATTTTAATATTTAAGCTGTTTTACAAATTACACAAATGAAATTTGAAGATGTTAAGATGAACTGAAATATTTTTAATCTTAACATGATAATCACTTTGCACTTGGAGCAGTCAACACTGACTTGATATGTTCACGGACAAATCTTTTATAAAAATACTTAGTTAAAAAATTGGATTTTTGTGTAAAAAAGACTTACAATGTTCACTGATAATTTGCCAAATTTCATGAAGATACATATACCGCATTAAAACTCATAATATGGAAACTGTTGGTTAATTTGAGGTTACAAGGTCGGTCATGTTAATTGACCCTGTATGGAAACAGTTAACCTTTTATTGAACAATCTTTTAATTTTCAGATTGTTTTTTTCAATACATATAAAGATCCTCCTAACCAGTTGGTACTGTTTTCTCAAGTACCCTTCTAAAGCTTTTCAAAGGTGCCTTGTTGAGAATTTCTACAGTTAAAAGATGAAATCTTGAAATAAGTATTACAACTCATGAAGGATGATTAGAGTAAAGGTTTGGTAGCATGGGAGGTAAATTAGAAATGGGTTAAAAGTCATCATGTCAACAATGTTTATAGAAGTTTGTACAGATATGCATTAAATATTTAAATCTAGTTTTCCTCATTTTGTTTTAACCTTTTTTTTTATTAATTATAAAAAATGTAATGAGTGTGAGTATCATTATTGAAACAGAGATTTATTGCTTATTAGGAATTTCCGGTTGAAAGGATCAGAGAATAAAGTTCCCTCAGTTCGCAAGCGACAGAGAGGCATTCTTATGAAGTTGAAACAAGAGCGTAGTGAAATACAACGACTCCAACAAGCCCATCGCTCTGCAGCAAAAAACAGACGAGAATTTCTAGAACAGCAAGAAAAAGTCAAGGAATTGAAATCAGGTGTTTGCCAGAAAGAAGATATAAACCTTGAAGAGGAAATAGAAAGTTGGTTGATATTCATACATAGTTTCTTCTTAAAGCTAAGGCAGCATTACTTACTACATAAAGTTCTTCTATATTTTATTGACCAAACTTTAGGTCATTTATCAAAACATACTAGCTATACTGCATTTCCTTTATTCAGAAATGAGATCTTTTGCAGTAGGTTTGGCAGCAATAAATAATAGGTTTTGAGAACTTTAATAGACTGCATCTGTCGAAAAAAAGAAAAGAAGATGTTGTTTTGACTTTTATACTGCAAGTACTAAACTACAACAAACTGTAATTGCTAAGCTACAATAGATTCTAACCACTAAGCTAGAATAAACTGTAACCACTAAGTTACAATAAACTGTATCACTTGCTATTTTTGCTATAAACTTTGCCAGGAACTTAGATATTTCAGACTAAACAATAACCAGAAGTATTTGGATAAGAGCAGTAATAGACAAAGATAACCTTTACAAAATGATTTAGCAGAGAGAACGATGTGTGAGCTTCAAACTTAATTAGTAGTTAGAATGATGTTTGGAAGCATTGGTTAGTTCTTATATTTTAGGTACAATAAAAAATCAATACTCATTTTTCCTGGTCATTTTCAAATTAGCTGTTCTAGTTTTCACATGCTAACAGAGTAAAATCCATCTAAGTTTTGTCATTCAAACTTTTTTAAAATTTCAATAAAGCAAATCAAGGCTTTAGTCCTGGTTTAACATCATCTCTGCTAGCAAGTTTAGGCTTTAGTCCTGGTTTAACATCACCACTTTAGCCCTGGTTAAACATCATATGTGCTAGCAAATCAAGGCTTTAGTCCTGCTTTAACATCATCTGTGCCAGCAAATCAAAACTTTAGTCCTGCTTTAACATCATCTGTGCTTGCAAATCAAAACTTTAGTCCTGCTTTAACATCATCTATGCTAGCAAATCAAGGCTTTAGTCCTGCTTTAATATCATTTGTGCTAGCAAATCAAGATTTTAGTCCTGGGTTAACATCATCTGTGTTAGCAAATCAAGGTTTTAGTCCTGGGTTAACATCATCTGTGTTAGCAAATCAAGGTTTTAGTCCTGGGTTAATATCACCTCTGTTAGCAAATCGAGACTTTAGTTCTGATTTACATAATCTGTGTTGAAAATTATTTGCTTGTACTTAGTACCCACTCCCTTGTTACCCAGTAGTTTGAGTAATCTAACCGGGTTCTACCTTGTTGCTCAGTAGTTTGAGTAATCTAACCGGTTCTACCTTGTTGCTCAGTAGTTTGAGTAATCTAACCGGTTCTACCTTGTTGCTCAGTAGTTTGAGTAATCTAACCGGTTCTACCTTGTTGCACAGTAGTTTGAGTAATCTAGCCGGTTCTACCTTGTTGCCCAGTACTTTGAGTAACCCAACTGTTTCACTCTTGTTACCCAGTAATTCAAGTAACTCAGAAACTACCCTATGTCATATTGGGTTTCGCACTCACTCAATATATATAATGTCTGCCTGGATTGTTCTCACATAATAGCTGCTGAGAGCTTCTTCATTGACTGTTTCCTACTTTTTCAAACATACTTACTACAATTACTGGTGTACAAAAGTACATTCACTGTCAATAGGCTTCGCATTCTTGTTGGTCATTTGTGCATGAATATTAACATCTGGATTACCATCCTCAAGATCCAAGACAGCAGCTGGCTTTTTGTATTCTGTGTGTACTGTTTTTGAAAACTCCCTTTGTTCTTTTCTCTGTAATAATTTTCTTTCAGTAGATATCCATCCTGGCTGCATGGACAATACATATTGCATTTCAAATACCTTTTCACTTTTCCATTATATGAAGTAATAGGAGGCGTAGTATCATCTTGTAATGTTTTTATTGTGTTATCCATGCATAATAAGAAACGTGATATCATCATCTTATATTTTCGTTATGATCTATTAGCATAATTGGAGTCATAGTATCACTTTATGTTTCCACTTTGTTCTACCCGTGTAATAGGAAGTATAGTATCATATTCTGATGTTTCCTTTGTGTTCTACCTGTGTAAGAGGAGACTTTGTATAATTTTATATTTCTATTGTGTTCTACATTCATTTTCTGTGCTTTAACACAGGAAAGAGCACAGAAGAGAGCAGTCAACTTTTTGCCAGAATATGGAAGATATTGGTCCAAGGAAGGATAGGGGATGTTCCAACATATTTTTAGTAAATTCAGAAACTATTATAGATATTACATACCCCACATTTATCAGGAATCTTGATCTGGTTATGTCGAGAACTTAAGGTTAAAAATCATTAATTATTGTTTTTCAAGAAAGTGTAAAACTTACTGGCATTTCTTGTTGTATAGATGCATTTTATTGTAGTAATGTTTAATAGAATAAATCATAAAGTACTTGATACTGTTTGATAGTTTTAGTTTCTCTTTCTTTGTCCTTTTGAGTGGATTACTAGGGAAGCAGTCATTAATTTTAATGAAGATCTTTTTTTGTGTGTGTATGTCTTAAGATATTTGTCTCATGTACAATTACTCAAACATTCCTTATGATTTTTAGAAGATAAACATGAGTTTAAGACTGACTCCTTTATTAATATATTACACTTGTGTTAGCTTTTTGTTAGTCTTTTTTGTAGTTTTTCAAGACATTTTTTTCAAACTTGTAATATACAAGGTATAGTATCATCTTTCTGTACAGTTGTGTTCTACCTGTGTATTAGGAGATATAGTATCTCTTAATAGATATAGTACCAATTTCAAAATGGTGTGTTTAAGAAGCCTATCATTCTATAGGTATTTGAAGAACTTGTAGCATTTCGCCACAATTTAACTCTTCATATTGTTAGCCGACACTGGACAGTTGATACATAATTGAATAGAGTTGCTTAAACATTTGTTTAACAACAAGTAAAGGATCACTGATAAGGAATGGAATTCTCCAAAACTAGTCACAGACACCCCTCCAATGAAAGAATAGACCATTCCAAGCTTTTACTTGTTATTAAAGAAATGCTTAAACAACTCTATTCAATTATGAATTATGTACCTTTGTGTTCTACCTGTGTAGTAGGAGGTATAGTATCATCTTTAAGTACCATTTTTTCTACTGTATAATAGGAGGTATAGTATCATCTTTAAGTACCATTTTGTCCCAGCTGTATAATGGAAGGTAGAGTATCATCTTCATTTACTACCTGTGTCATAAGAGGTATAGTATCATTTTTGTGTTGTACCTGTGTAATGTTTTAAATGTTTTTTTACCATAATTTTTGTGATGGGCTTGAAATATGGCTTCTGTGCTTTATGAAATAACAAAAATTGGTGTGAAATCCATTTCATATATTATCCCTCCCATTTTAATTTCAAGCAGTTAAGTTTTTTTCAGTGTGAAGTTTAACAACTTTTTATTTTTACAGTTTTCTCAAAGAAGTCCAGATCATCTTCAAATTCAGAGTCATTGGATTATTCTGGTATCATATCAAAGGCGAAGAAAAATCCATCATTAAATTCTAAAATTCTAGGAGACTCTGTGTCTGAGCATGTTTCAACTGAAAGTGCAGTTCTGACAGAAGAGGCTGTGTCTGAGCATGTTTCTACAGAAAGTGTAGTTCTGACAGAAGAATCTGTGTCTGAGCATATTTCTACAGAAAGTGTAGATGCAACAGAAGAGTCCATTAAACCTGCTGTAAAGTTTTATAATCGTTTTTAATCTGATAGTTTAAGTAAAACTTTTAAGAACTGAAAAACAATGTACCTTTATTATTGGTGTAATATCAATCCATTGTTTGTTTATTACAATGTGAGAACTTATATTTTAGTACCTAAAAGACTGTTATTCCAACTGTAGGCTTCTTTTGTTTCATAAATGTATTTGAGTTTTTGTATCATAAGAGTCTTAATTTTATAGTTATGAATGACATTATAAAGTGAATTTTTTAACTTGTAATATTTTTTATGCTTCAACATTTGTTTATAGAAATGTTTATGTAAAAAAGTTAATAAAAAAAAAAGTTAATTACATAAACTATTGTTCTTCCCAAAAGACTGATGAAGACCATGAAATTTCTGAAGGATCAGAAACACCTTCCTTAGGTAAGATTTATTACCTGTATTTTGATTATACTGACAGATACTTGCTGATGGTGTTCTCCTACATTTAGAGTATATAATATTTATGTTCTGTATTTTCTGTTTTCCATCAGTAGATGATAGATTTACTTTACTTTTTCTCCTTTGCTGTGATGTTACTTCAACGTTTTTGATATATTTAATATAAATGTTCCTAACATTTAGATGTTACTTTGAAACATTTCTACTTGTTTTTTAAGTATGTGGAATTTATTGGCTATTTTCATGGAGCAGCTATTTACTTGTGTTATAGTATACATGACTTATGCTTTCAAAATATGGCCAGTACTGTACTTTAGATACTGTGGCATTGTTAAAATTACAAAGTTTCTGTCTTGTGCAACTGGAAGATCTATAAGTATTTGATTATGTTTGGAGTGTATTACTTTTATCCTATTGTTTTAATAGAACTATTTCTGTTATTTAAATAACATTATTTCTGTTGTAAATTTTTGCTTCTCACATAAGAATCTGTTGTGGAAGCCATTGGTCCAACTTCTAGTCAAACCACTAGCTCCAAAACCTCCATACCTACAAGCTTAAAATCTGAGAAAAGAATCGAAAAACCAGTTGAAAGACATAAACTGGCTGAAAAAGGAGCTGATAAGTCACTTAGCAGATTAAAAGGATCATCTGATATGTCCTCAAAGCAAACTTCTCGTGAGGGACATCTGAAATTAAAGGCTGGGAAACGGTCAGTTTGATTATTAATATTTCCGACCAGTCAGTAGTTTCTATTATTTTTTTTAATGAAGTAAAAATGTCTTGTATTACTTAGCTTATAAAAGAGTTAAATTAGAGACAGTTATGGATTTACTTAGTGTTTGAGCCTTAGTAGTACAGCTTAACTTGTGTATTATGAACTTTGAATAAATAAAATCATTACACTTATTAAAGCTTGTAACTGAAGTATAAACAATAGATCTGCATAATGTTTGTATTAGAGAAGTAGAAGAATAGATTCTAAAAAAGCTGTTGGTCCAATAATGTGGTGTGTGTTTCCTTTAATGAAAATGTACCATCAAATGTAGAATATTAAATTTTGACTTTATTTTTTTATCATGTAGATACCTTACTAAAAGAGAACAAAATCTCCATCAACGAAGAAAGGACTTAGAACACCTTATTAAGTGGCAGCATCAGTTAGATAAGCAGGAAGCAGAAGTTCGGAAACTGGAGAAAAAGGCGTTAGAGCTACTAGATACTGATCGCAAGAGCATGGCTATTACAGAATATAGCTCCACAGGTGAGTAGCAATTTCAAAAAACACCATGCCTTGTAGAATAGTAGCAGAAAATCTGAGCATTATGGTGCAAAAACGATACTATTTTTTCATTCTTTACTCACTGAACAAACAGTAAAGTATGAAATATTTCTAGAACATTTGGATTAAAATTTCCAAGACACTGACACAATATTTAACACAAACTCCAGTTTCACACCTGACTCACCATCACATGATATTCTTACTCATTGTGCCAGGAAGATCCTAGCTGAATGATATGTGACCTTTTCCTTTGGCCTATGGGTAAACATGTTAACATGTATCTACATGTTTATTTTATTTATCAGAGGAATTGGTGGGAAATAAAATTACAGATTCCTTGATTGAAATTGGTGTTAGATAGCAAGAAAAAATTAATTACCTTTTAATAGTCTATTAAACTATCCTTAAATGAGCTATTGGTGTGATTATTATTATTATCGAAAGTTAATGCCAGAAGTAAGGCTTATCACATCTAATTCGGAAATCAGTTTGTCAGGAAAGTTATTGTTATGAATTAAGGAAATATTTAAAATATTCACACAGCTCCTACTAAAGCTAATTGCATAAGGCTATTAACTATTTTGATATCAGAGGAACATGAATTAGTACATTTGCATGTAATAAGGTCTCTTATAATAAGAATATATTTATGTAATAAGGTCTCTAGTAGCTGTAGTTTCAGAGAATATTGATATATCTAATACCATAGGAACATGAATTAGTGTGTATGTATAAATTAAGAAGGTCTCTAGTAGCTGTATTCTGAGAAAATATTGATATTTCTGATACAATAAAATTCAATACCCTGTCACCTGAGAACTTTTGAAAGGTGGACCTTTCTTCTTCAGGAGCAAACTGGGAAGAAAAGTCCACCTTTCAAAAGTGCTTTGGTTATATGGTATCATATTTTATGTTGAATTAATTTATTGAACCTACATTTTTTCTAACATTATAGATACTTCTAGTACCATAGGAACATGAATTAGGCATATAAAAGTAATAAGATCTCTAGTAGCTGTAGTTTATCAGAATGTTTATATATCTGATACCGAAGGAATATGAATCAGTTTGTGTACAAGTGATAACATCTGTAGTTTCTGAGAATATTGATATATCTGATACCGAAGGAACATGAATCAGTTTGTGTACAAGTGATAACATCTGTAGTTTATGAGAATGTTTATATATCTGATACCGAAGGAATATGAATCAGTTTGTGCACAAGTAATAACATCTGTAGTTTCTGAGAATATTGATATATCTGATACCGAAGGAACATGAATCAGTTTGTGTACAAGTGATAACATCTGTAGTTTCTGAGAATATTGATATATCTGATACCGTATGAACATGAATCAGTTTGTGTACAAGTAATAGCATCTGTAGTTTCTGAGAATATTGATATATTTGAAATAACATGAATCAGTTTGTGTACAAGTAATAACATCTATAGTTTCTGAGAATATTGATATATCTGATACCATAGGAACATAAATCAGTTTGTGTACAAGTGATAACATCTATAGTTTCTGAGAATATTGATATATCTGATACCGAAGGAACATGAATCAGTTTGTGTACAAGTGATAACATCTGTAGTTTCTGAGAATATTGATATTTTTGACACCATAGGAACATGTACAGTGTGTTTACAAGTAATGAATTTTGTAGTGGCTGTAGTTTTGGAGATGTTACTGAGATGTCAGAATTAATAATATGTTTGGTTGGGCAATTTTTTGTTTGTTTGTTATTATTACTACTCTTCCAGTGTTTAAATTTTGTTATGCTAAAAGTTCTTTGTCATTTTGCTTTAAATTGAGAAACCCACTGTAATTTTGTTACACTTACCCAAAAGTACAATGTTCACGTGCATTGATCTTTGGAAAAAATGACAATTTATTATTTTGTGCTACTTTTTTATTCTTCTTGTAACATTAGTGGAGCAATACTCAAGAAATGTATTTTTTGCGTACTTCACCTAAAGATTTAGATGTGTAGATGTCTTGGTTGATTCCTACAAATTTTGTAATTTATTAAGTTAAACCAAGAAATATCAAGTTGTTGTCGTAGGTATTTTTGTTTTATATGTATAGATGTGATGTATAAATTCATAATTGTTTGATTAATGCTGGATATTGTTTCTGTTAAAATCAACCCCTAAAGTAACATTTAAGCATCATTTAGTGAAAGCTTCAGTTTTGAGACCAAGAGCTAATAATAGTAAATGTAATAAAAAAGAAATTTTAGTTAATTACCTATGCACCCATATTATGAGTTTATAATTATAAAGTAGCATTATTATTATTTTCAGTTGTGTGGCCTTAAATATCAAATTAAACACTTCAGGACCTGATTGGAAGAATTTTGTGAAAGTAATAATTGTAGTTTGGTGTCAGAGGATACTGCTAGGCCTACTTTGTAGGATTCATATTTTAATACATAGGATTTATTACACATTCTTATATGAATAACTATTTTAATTACTTAGCTTGTCACTTCTGGCACTTGAAGATTTAGTAAGACTTAGCTCTAAAATAAAGATTTTCTTCATAGAAAAAAGGACTAGACAGACAGCTGAAAGTCCTGACAAAACTATATTAAATTCAACAACAATCACCACACAACAGATCCAAGGTTCAACTTCTGTTTCATCTAAAGAGGATAGGAAAGAAAGAACTCGGACAAGTGGAAGTGATAGCTCTGTGGCTGAAGACCTTTCTCTACATGATCAGTCACGTGTGAGCTCTGACAGTATACTGGAAGAGGTCATCCAGTGTACTTCAAGAATTAGGTAATGTATATTTGTTATTAACATTATTGTTATAGGCTAACAGAGTCATTGTTGTTCATGATGTTAGAAAAACATGTAGGTTCGAGAAATCAATTTAACATAAACATACAATACCCTATAGCCCAAGCACTTTTGAAAAGTGGATCTTTCTTCATTTCCAGCTTGCTTCTGAAGAAGAAAAGTTAACCTTTTGAAAGTGCTTGGGTTATTTGGTAATGTATCTTTGTGTTGAATAGCCATTTTTATGTCATGGAAGCTACTTTCCAATAATCCATTCAGGCTTTCATAGTTCACGTTTCAATAATCTATACAGGCTTTCATAGTTCACATTCCAATAATCCATACAGGCTTTTATAGTTCACATTCCAATAATCCATACAGGCTTTTTTAGTTTACTTTCCAATAATCAATACAGGCTTTCATAGTTCACATTTCAATAATCCATACAGGCTTTCATAGTTCACATTCCAATAATCCATACAGGCTTTCATAGTTCACATTCCAATAATCCATACAGGCTTTTATAGTTCACATTCCAATAATCCATACAGGCTTTTATAATTTACTTTCCAATAATCATTACAGGCTTTCATAGTTCACATTTCAATAATCCATACAGGCTTTTATAGCTCACATTCCAATAATCCATACAGGCTTTTATAGTTCACATTCCAATAATCCATACAGGCTTTCAGAGTTGACATTTAGCACGATCATAGTTAAACATTTAGCATGATCATATCGTAACTAAGTTTTTCTTTTGTGTTGATTTCAGACTTTATTTTTTTTCCAGTCATGATTTCTTGTATTTAATGGACTGGTTATGCATTATAATGAATTGACTATACTAATTTAGTAGGGTGTTGTATACATAAAACGAGATTGTTAAATGACGTAGAGTTAAAGGACAATATCTGAACATGGGACGAGCTTTCATTGCCCTCTTGTAAAGCAGAACATACCTCTTCTGTAATGTATTTTCAGTGAGAATTTGAATCTTTCATTTTCTTCAATAGGACCATTGAAGCCAATGTTTATGTATTCTGAAAGGTCTGTGGAATGTTTAACATTTGTGATATTAGGTTGTCCTGACTATCCAGCATTGGGCAGTTTAATGTTATCATGATCATCAGCAATTAACTTTTTAATGGCTACTCTGTCTTTTGTACCTATGACACCAGTCCATGTGACTTAACTTACAAAAATATCACTGCAAGTAATATGACCTTAGTGTAGCAGGTTACCATAAGCCCTCTGTATTCATATTTAGAAACAATAGTACATACAGCTTAACATTTTGCTACAAGTCCTTTGTTGTTGATTTAGCAGGCTACCATAAGTTTTATTAATTTGTTAAGTTCCAGGTGTGAAAGTTGTATTAACTTTCTAAAATCTACATCTCTCATGCTATTTTGACAACATGTACTTCTGCATCTGATAAGTTTTGTTAACGTGTTAACCCTATGTATACAATGGGTTAAAATGTGCATGTCATGACTTTTTTACAGAGTTACATTCAAAATTTAAGTAAACAATTTTATCAATGTATGTCAATAAATTTGACATCAACATATAGTTTTTAATTAAAATTTGTTTATTATTCTAAGTTTTAATTTCTAAGGGAAATATTTAACCCATTCACTGCAGCTTTCATGTATACAGGTTGGACTTTTTCTTCTGTATAGTGCAACTCTGCTATATATAGGATTTCATTGATATCGTGAAGGGTACTGACAAGAAAAGACAGTACATGATTAACCCAGTGTTTGGTAACAGTGCTTGGGTGGATGAAGAGTGCTTCAACACTCATAAATACCCCTTACCAGTTCATGCAGGAACTTTAGAAACAAAACCTCTATATGGCACAACTGCAGTGTACAGAAGAAAAATGTCCAACCTTTATACATGACAGCTGCAATGAATGTGTTAAATAAATCCTCCATCATCATTTTTACTACTCTGTGTAACATGGTACATCGTACTCTTGATTTAACCTTCTTTTAGATTTTTTTCATCCATTTTATGCCTTTCAGACTATCTGACCAGTTACGTACATAAAGTATAGGTAGTTACAGGCCTCTCTACTGAGATATAAAGTTGTCAAATTTAGAAAACAGGTTCCTCCTCCTATCATTTTGTAGCTGTAGTGTATTTTCTAATCACATGATACATATTAAATATACATGTTTATAACCAGTAGAAAGATCATAATTCATTGTACCTCTGCTCTTACATTCTGGAATTTAATTTTTGTGTTGAAAGTCTCATACTTTCTAAGAAAATGCTCTTCACAGTACAGGTGAAGCTCTGAGAAGTAATGTATCAAAATATGTTCTTGAGTACTAATAGGCCTCTTTAGGTAAGGTGCATGGTAGATTTCTTATGTTTTATGTATATTTCTTATTTATTTTATCAAAAGTAACTAAAATTTAAAGATTATAAATTTCTAGCTTGTGTACACAGGAACTTCATTTGACTGTGTCAATTGTTTTCCCTCTGGTTAAATTATCCTAATTTTTGCTACATTTTCTTGATTTTGTCATGCCAGTCATCTACTTTTTCTTTCTGTTGCTAAGTGGCATTATCTTTCTTCCACTGTTTTTGAACTATTTTTAGTAATTTAATTCAGAATTTTATTTTAGAACTTATTTCACAGATAGTGTTAGAAGTGTTCAGTTGGACTGAAAAGCTGAGGTGGCTTGATGATGTACATAAGCCATCCTTTAATTTGAATATTAACCAATATCTCAAATCCCTGACTTAATCAATAATGATATTAAAAGAGCTTGCTGTAAATGTGATCATTTACATAAAAAAAATATAATTCCGACATGACTGGAATATAAACGTGAGACATCAAGAGAAGAGTTGAGCTCTGTAACCACTGAGCACTTTGATATCCAGTGTTAAAAATTAATTTAACCTTTTATCATCTCTACCCGTATATGTATGCATGCTAGACATCATCTCTACCCATATATTTACACGTGCTAGACATCATCTCCACCCGTATATATGTACATCAAATGTCTCACGCACCATTTAAGTGCCTAGTGCCTGGTTTGTAATGGTCAAAGCATTATGTACTTGTAAGAAAATTTTATGCTCAAAGGCTGACTCATTTACCCAAAAACCATGGCTAGCAGAGGATGCATGCATAGCTTGACAGATGATGAACCCAAGTGAGTTTTGGTCGAAATATATGATGAGGAGACAGACAATCCACTTGAGCTGAAATGTGGTGACATTGCTGGTGTTGCTGGAGATAGTTACTGGGTCTTCAAGCAGCAACAGTGAGGAATGAGATGCCAACAAAGCTGTGGCTACCACAAGTGAAGCCATTGTTACAAGCTGTCCTCCTGTGCTGGTGGCTGATCTTGACAATAATGTTGACTAGCGATGGTGAGTTGGAGATTTCTCGCCACAGATGCTTAATTTCACAGTAGCATTGCAAGCAATGGAGGAATAAGTGATAATAGCAATGAAATGGAATATTTCATGCTACTTTTTGACCACACACTAATGAAAATAATAGACAGAATTAAATAAACATTATTTGTTTATGAGGGAGGAGCACCACCACTATTGTATTTACTTAGGTGGAAAGATGCAGTAGTGAATAAGTTAGCAGTTAATGTGGTTAATTGATTACCTATGAATATTGGTTATATTGATTAATGTCACACACAATAATTTATTGCTAAAAATTGCAGTTAAATCAATTAATTTCACCAAAAAATGAACTAGTTTCCACTTTGTAATATTTTTGGTTATTCCAAATATTCAGTAATTGAAATTACAATTAAATCGATTAATGTTATGAAAATAATCAATTAACCCTTTAAACACTTTTTTGCACAAGTCAAAATGTTACATTCAAAATTTAATTAAATGCTTTACTATCAATTTATGTGGATTAACTTACAATAATAATGCATGCTATGATTCAAAGTTTTATGTTATCTGAATTTTAAGTCTTTTATTTCAAAAGAAACCTTTAAACAACTACTTAAAACTTCAGATGTATTCTCATGTGACCAACAGGCTACAAACATTCTCTACTTTGACACAATGCATTTTCAGTAATACAATGGTAGTTGTGTAGATGTACATCTAGACTAAGATGCTTACATAATGTTTTGATTCATTCATTTCAAAGTTTTCTGAATTAATGCAGTTGAAACAAGTAATTAATTTTTTCAACCCCTGACAGGTGCCATGCCTTCAACAGACTTATTTGAGCTTTATAGCCTACATGTAGATTTTACTTACACAAGTGTATAGTCATTAGAAAGAGCCTATTTCACACTATAATCTAACAATGATTATTTTGAAATTGGTGCTCAGTTTTTGTAGATGTAACTGACTGTAATATTGTTGACTGCTTGTTCAACTATAGCACTTATGGTTGTTTCTTACCTAAATATGTTTTAGCTAGTTATATATTAGTTATGTTTTAAAATGCATAATTGAAAGGTTTAAACATTTGATAAATATACATCATACTTTGCATCTGTTCTCAAGGCTTCCAGTATTACACGGTGCACAAGAATTTTGCCGAAGGTTGTGCATGTGTGCCAGAAACACTGTAATATGCCTTTGAAGGCACCATTGACTTGTGTTGAGATGAATGAGTGGTAATGGACAAGAAAGAAAAATAAAACATTAAAAATTAATATATGTGAAAAGGAAAAAACCTGAAATTATGAATTTAACAAAATGAAAAACTTTTAAGATATTCTACAAAAAAATTTAAAGGTATGTATTTTTTTTCTATTTTCTAATTTTAGTTATTTCATTGTATTGTATGTTGATGATAATAGCTGGAATTAGTGATATGGTAGAGAAAATGAAAAATAGAATATAAACATTTACCTTAAAAAAGCTTTTAATATTCATTTAGAAGGTTCTAGAGATTATGCAAATGAAATGTGAAAAATATAAGATGAAGGAAAGCATTTTTATACTTAAATGAAAATCACCTTACACTCAAACTATTTTAACAATCTGAGTGCAAATAACTACTATAGATAAATAACATTTTTATTAGAAAGATGTAATTAGAATAATATAATTCTTTGTATACAAAATACTTATAAACTTTAACAAAACCTTATGAGATTTTGTGAGTTACTGTATGTTTTTTGCATGAATATCTTTCCCCAGTCAAAGTGATACAAACTGCATTAACCCATGCTGAAAGGATTAATCAAAATTATTGTTTCTCGTTATTACTGTTTTTGATTATTCCAACTATCCAATAATTGAAATATTGTTCTTATTAATTATGATTCAGTTAAGTTTTTCAGCTTAGTTCTACTTCTGGTTGGTTTATTTACCCATCTAGTCCTGCCTATGACAAGAAAGATGGGGCCCAGAATGTGGCTGACCTTTACTCTGAATCTTTTGAATCAGCTGATAATTCTGTGACCAGCAACCCCTCTGCTCAAAAGATTTCTAAACGTGGAAGTAAGTCTGAAGAAGTTAGTGGGGGACATAGAAGTTTTGGAATCATGATACGTTCTCCTCTAGTTCCTCGAAGCCATCGAAGGCATGATTCCAGTGGTTCAGAAGACTCTCTTACTATTTCTCTGTCAGGTGCTAAGTTTGATTGAGTTACATATTTTTATAATAATTTCCTGATAGATTTAAATACAAAAGTAATAAGAGTATTGTTTTCAAGTGCTAACATAAACATTGACATGTATAACTGTCAGAGTAGATAGTTTACTCTGATGTGAGTGCTAACTGTGGTATACAGGAACTGCATAATGTCAGAGTAAAATTATTGAACACTGACTTATATAACTGTCAGAGTAGGTAGTTTTCCTCTGATGTGAATGTTAAACTGTGGTTTACAGGAACTGCATCAGGTCAGAGTGAAATTGATGAACACTGTCTTATATAACTGTCAGAGTAGACAGTTTGCTCTGATGTGAGTGCTAACTGTGGTATACAGGAACTGCATAATGTCAGAGTGAAACTGATGAACACTGTCTTGTATAACTGTCAGAGTAGATAATTTGCTCTGGTATGAATGTTAAACTGTGGTTTTCAGAAACTGCATCAGATCAAAGTGACATCGAAGGAAGGATTTTTGCCCTGAAGGAGGAGCTGCGTCATCGGCGGTTAGTAGCTGAAAGGCTCAAGAAAGATCAAAAACAGATATACAGAGAACGTCTAAAAGAACGAGAGCAATCACTGAAGAAACAGATAGAGGTAATATGCTACTTTCATGTCCAGTTTTACAAATATGTTTTAAAAGAAACCTAAACTAGTTGTTCTTTAATATGCCTTTATTGAATTAATTTCTTTGTAATAATTTATAAAAGCAGTTACTTAGCATTGTATATTTTTCATCAAAAATATAAACAATCACTCAGTAAGCTTTTTCATTAGATAGAATAACCATAAAATTCAAAGTTGAATAATTCTCCATTCTGCACATTTGATATTGTGACAGGCATATGACAAGTTCATTCAGAAGACCAAGCAAGATCTTGATCAAGAACTAGAAACTTCGGTCCTTTCTAGTTCCAGCCTAACTCCATTACAGATTAAGCCACAAATCAAACAGCCTCGAGTAGCTGAATCTCGTCGGCTGTGTAAACAGTTAAAACTGGACAAGAGTCAGAGTTCTGGAGAGGTAAATTCAGAATATATGCAGAATGTTATTATTTGATATGAAGTGTTGGAATTTTTTTTTATAATTTTATTATTAACTAAATTATTTTTCATATCTTTAGCTAATTAAAACT